CCAATTCCGAAGCTTAAGGCCTCTTTCAGTGCTGCATCTTTAACTCGGGACATATTGAGTTCCAGGTCTTCTTCAGACATGTGAACGAACCTTCGAGGATCATCTTCCATCCCACAATAATTGATTAGATCCTTTGCTGTAAGGCGTGTCTGTCGTCGAGATGCCACAAATACAATCACAGGCTTATCAGGCGAGTGATTTTTGATTGCAAGGAAAGTTGGCCTGTTCATCGACTGCATCAAGGGACAGAAGCCCCTTTGCTCTGGAAAACCGTCAATAAATATCTCCAGAGGCACCGGACGAACAGAGTGTCTAAAGTTATATAAGCCCTTCTTCACTCCCAGCCAGTCTGCAAGGTCGCGAGCATTAGCACAAGCAGTAGACATGCCCATTAATCTAACAGAGCCTTTGGACTGAGATGCAATGTAGTTCATTCTGGAAACAATTATTTCCAGGATGGGACCACGTTCACCCGCAAGAAGGTGGATTTCATCAATAATAACTAATCCAACCTGGCGAACGTATCCTCTTGTTTGCCAGCTTCGAGATATACCGTCCCACTTCTCTGGTGTGGTGATGATGATGTCTGCATTTTTGATAGTTCTTGTGTCAGGGGTATTATCACCAGTTAATTCTACCAATTTTAAGCCCAAGGGTGTGGCAAGCCGATTTCTCCAGTCATGGACACGTTCTCGCACAAGCGCTTTCATGGGAGCAATGTAAACGACTTTTGATCCTGGCTTATCTTTGAAGTTCTGCCACATAGCTAACTCTGCAGCTACAGTTTTCCCACTTCCGGTTGGGGATCCTAGAAGGACGTTCATATCGGTATGGTAGAGTGTGTGGAAAAGTTGGGTTTGCATTGGGTTGAAGTAGTCAAATCTCTTCCCATATACATGCTCAAGCGAAGGATTCTTCAGAGACGTTATTGGCAGAGGTTGCAACTCGAGGAGATCTGTATACTCGCTTACCGTATCCGGGCGAATAAGATGCTGGAATGAAACTGGGGCAACGGTTTCAGCACCAAGCCATCTATCTGAGATCACTCTAACGTATATCTGGGTTGGTAGAGGGTCTGTCAATGGAATAGTGAAATTCAATTCCTGACTGTCATGGAGCTTCCTTCGGTTCAGTATGAAGTATTCGTGGTGGTATATTTCTGCAGTCTCCGAATTCTCTACCCATATCCAGAATGGCTCTGATGTGCCATGGTGCCGGGTGTTCCATTGGAAGTCTGCATAGAGATAGAGTCGAATACGAAGCACATCTCTGTTAAGGGGTGATATTTCAACATCAACACTCAACGTTGGGAAGTTGTCAAGTAGCTTTTTCAAAGTCCCGCCCATGCGCGTATTATGAACGAGCTGGCCGAGTTCCGCGGTGTCCATCTCTCTCATTGATTCAATAGACGAGGCAGGGAACTTTTCATCAAGATTTTTCAAAATGGTTGGCGGTAAATCAAATTGATGGAATGGATGCTGGAAAGGCCAAATCTGTTTCTCAATGGATTTACAGGTCGATAGCAGGACCTGGCATTGGTAACCCCATCGTCGATTTAATGCAATCATAAAAAGTGACCGACAAATTCTGGCAGAGTTCTGAGCAACGTATGAGGTATCCGAGACAAGAGCAAAGTCTTCAATTCTAGCTCTGGAGATGTAAGACTGAAGAAGAATATTGGTCTTTGCATGGGCAGTATCGTTTGCTCCTTCGACCTCAGTTCGTAGACCTTCTTCTCGTAATCTGTCCAACTCCTTGAATTCATTATCTCTTGACTGAATATTGTCGAACTCACCACTCATACTAATCATCTTCATGGCATCAGCATCACTACCATTAGGGTTCATCATGGAATTGAAAATTTCCACGCTGGTTTGAAGGACATAGTATTGGCTTGCAATTCGTCCCACGTCTTTTGCACGTAATTCCTCGGTGTTTTCGTTGAATATGATCATTTGGCTCTTTTGAAGTACTTTGGCGGCCTTTATAATAAGGTCGCGACGCCGCTGAACGAGTTGAGGATCATCACGAATCTCACTCCATTCTATACCATAGGCAGAATGATTCCGTCTCATTCGAACGAACAGATAAGAGTATCCGAGCCACTGAACACCTTCAGTGACCGAAGTGACGGTACCTAACGCTATTTCAGCATTCAGGTTGTCCACCAATTTGCGGGAGAACCTAGACTCAATGGGCTCCTGAGAGGTGACGGCGGATATATAATGCTGTAGCTTGCTCTGAGGGGTACATATGAAGCCAATACCAGTATCTTGGAATTGAGGTCGACCAGCTCGACCAAATATTTGGAGGACATCCAGAATTCCAAGGTCGATGAATTTTCCTTCCTGAGCACTGTATATCTGGGTTCCTTTGATAATGACAGCGGCGGCTGGCAAGTTTACACCCCAAGCTAAAGTTGCTGTACAGCACAGAACTTTGATAACACCTTGAGAGAACAGGCGCTCCATCAAGTTTCGATCCAATCTCGACATACCGGCATGATGTGTGCCCATTCCCTTGGGTACTAGATCCCTTAACTCTCGAGCACGGGTACCCTTAAGATCTTTCAAGGCCTGAGAGTAATTTTCATGATCCACAGGGGAGAACAAATCACTACATTGCTCATCCATGGCCATTTTTGCGTAAAGGCGAGCAGTGTTGACTGTGTCCTTTCGGGAATGGACGAAAACCATGATTTGATGGCCCGCTTCAAGCATTTCCCTTACTTTTTCGAATGAGACTTTGTCTAGGTTATCTCGGGATTTCTTGGAGCCAGCATCTCCCTTCACTCCGATGAAATGCTGTTCAAGCGGAACTGGGCGGAAGGAAGCGTCAAAAAAGAAGAGACCGGCCATGCGGTTGACTTTGAGGAAATCTGCCACATCCAGGTAGTTAGGGAGGGTTGCAGAAAGCCCAACAATCCGAATCAAGGATTGTGTGCTTTCGACTTGACGTTGAGTTCGGGCTACGAGAGACTCAATCACAGCACCACGCTCATCATGCAACATGTGAACTTCGTCGATGATCAATAGTTTAACCTTCTGGACTAGCTCAGTGTCTCCAGTACTCTTTCTTGTGACCACATCCCACTTCTCAGGGGTAGTGACAATAATTTGAGTCTGTACAATCTCTTGCTTAGTCAATTGCATATCTCCGGTGAGTTCCCTGACTTGAATCCCAAGCCATGCCAAACGCTTGCCTAGTTTCTCTGTCACCTCAGCCGCGAGAGCTTTCATTGGAGCGACATAGACGATTTTGAAATCCTCGATTTGCACAACAAAATCCGTAGCTTCGGGGTCTTCCAGTGGACTTGGGGTAGTGTGTCTAGCTATGGCATTGAGGATGGTGAGCATAGCGGCATCAGTCTTACCAGCTCCCGTTGGTGCGCATATAAGCATATTTTCGTTAGTTTTATATGCAACAGTGTAGAGCAAACTCTGCATACGATTCAAGGACTTATATCCCGGAAATGTGCCCCGGCAGAGGGCATCCATCTCTGATATTGGGACAAGCCTGTGACCAGCCCCAAGGGTTCCGACTTTTGATGCGGGGACGGCGTATTCAGTATAGAGGGGCTCCTCTCTATGGATAGTCCCAACGGGAAGTCCATATTTTCGACCATTTACAGACAGTGTGTTCCCAGCCTGATAAGTTTTGTAAACATGGGGATACTGCGGTCCTTCACGGTCGACTTTTGCCGCAAGCTGTGCATGCTTATGCTCATAGTCCTGTCGGCGGAGGGCCTCTTCCCTCTCTGCCCGGGTTTGCAGTCGCCCAATAGCCGAAGTAGGCTGAGAATCTGGTATAGTAGGCCCTGAAAGAGCCTCCCGACGATGAGATAGCAGTTCGATGACAAAATCTAGCTCATCAAAGCCAATGACTTCCGCCAAAGCAATCTGGAGTTCATCTGAAGACATATCAGAGGCGAGAAGAGCCTCTATCTGCTGCTGTAAATCAGGCCCACTGAGGCCTTCCTTAAGCTGAGCAATGGATTCACACTTCTTTGCGAGCCATCGACGGTCATGTTCCTGCTTCTGCTCATCGTGGGATGAGTCAACAGGCAGAGCCACTCCATTGATATCGTCAAATTCGTCGCTTTCACCACTGTCACTGATCAAGTCCCAGATATCGTCGGATGACCCTGGCTGCGAGGAGAAGTCATCATCGCTCAGATTCAAATCCGAGCCATAGAGAACTGAATCAGGCTCGTTTGGCAGATTCAGCTTCTCTATCTCCTGCCGCATGGCAGTCAGCTGGTCGAGCCACTGTCTCTCTTCTGGCGTTAGATCGGCCGACATGGTGAACAATAAACGAGCGTCAAATACACCGATCTATCTATTCTTCTAGCAGTACTCCGTATATAAAAAAAGAAAGACTTCTTCAATGCCAACAAAGATGCAAGGACGAAGATGTAGTCGAGGAGATGAAGTCCGAAAAAGAAATGAATATGTATCTGTGACTCCCACGGCCCCCAGCTTACATAATCCGGGGGGCCGTTGCTGGAAATGCGACAGCCTGAAGAACGCCTCTCCGTGTCTACAACAACGGACAACAGACAACAGACAACAGCAGCAACAACTCGAGGTCGAGTGCAGTTAAACTGATTTGGCCTTATCTTCGTTTTGAGACTATCTTGTTCACGGACTATTCAACGGCTGATAATATCTCGTCCGCTCTTTTTGGCTGCATAAACCTCCGTCATAAACACACACCGAAGCACCCGCACCCCCTGGAAACAACTACACCGTTAACATGAAGCTCTTTTATATCGGAGTATGTGAAGAAGAAGCAAACCCAGATTCCCAGACGTTATATTGACGATGAGTCTTCTAGATTCTGCGGAACGAAGACCGGCCCGCCGTCGAGCTATGCCGTGAAATGGACCTTAGCAGCTTCTCCCGCTTCACCAGGGACAAGTGTGCCACCCTCCCTACTAGCTACGCCTCCAGTCTTCAGCCCCAGCTAACAATATCCGGGCCTACAGCTACGGTGAATTTATGACCCTCTTCTGCAAGACAGTTGCCGAACGCACACGTCCCGGTCAGCGACAGGACATCGAAGAGAAATCGTACACATTTCACGTCTACGGCCGGTCCGAAGGCATAGCGGGCGTCATCATTTCGGACGCAGACTACCCTGCTCTCGTCGCCCATCAGCTTCTTTCCAAGATTGTCGATGAGTTCCTCGTCAAGCACCCCCGGACATCCTTTATTGGCAAGGAAATAAGCGGCCCCCTTGACTTCCCGGAGTTGAAGGAGTATATTGTTAAATACCAGGACCCCACCCAGGCAGACAGCATCATGAAGATTCAAAAGGAGCTGGATGAGACTAAGATCGTCTTGCATAAGACTATTGAAAGTGTTCTGGAGAGAGGGGAGAAGATTGACAGCCTGTAAGTTTCTCCTTCCGACAGTATATACTTTGGAGCAGTCATGGATCTAACGGTTTACCAGTGTTGCAAAGAGTGACGGCCTAAGCGCACAGAGCAAGATGTTCTATGGCCAGGCCAAGAAGCAGAACAGCTGCTGTGTTGTTATGTAAATGCACTTGCTACATCGGTGTGGTTTTCATGGTACATTCGTTTATTTTCAAGATCAAGGTTCTTCCAGGAAGGTTTTTGCTGGTTCCCTTTCCCCTGGTGGTTGTTAATATTTGCTCCTTGCTGTCCTCTCCCCCCTTGCATAGGCTGTATCAGCTGCATCTGTCATGATCTACATAATGTTGACGTTCATTCTAATACAATAATAGCAAGTATTGAACTTGTACGCTGAGATACTCTGTTAGTGACATATGGTTTCCTTGGATTCACTAAACAGCATATATGTACAGTCACTCAGAGTCTTGGCAACAATGGAATTTCAGGTAAAACGCTCGCATCAATGGTATAAATAAAGACATCGGGTAAAAGGAACATAAAACATATAAGGACATTTCAAGCGTAACCAAGTCATAGTTATATTAACCCCCCACTTCTGCCACAGTGGGTATATTAATATCGAAATCTTCAGAATCATCAGCAATACGCCCAAGGATGCACCTCGTCCAGTCCAAGAGCGGCTGGCTCGGTTTCTTCCTATCCCAAGCGTACCCTCTCCCTCCATGTTCTCGCAGATGTTCCATAAATGTATCTAGGTTTCCATATATCGGGGCGGGCCCATGGTTCTGTGCACTGCAGAATATGCATCCGAACCCACATACCACTTTATCAGTTGGTTTGGGAGGCTTGCACTCAACGTGGGATTTAGCCAGGAAGATCCATCGGTATCTGTTCCCACTTGGTCCATGAAGATGAACCGTCTGGTCAAACATCTGGAGGACACGCATACCCTGAATGATAGACGTTTTGACCGGGCCAAGCATGGAGGATAGAACGGGAGCTTTCCCGCTGAATTTGGATTCTTGCACAATTCCTTCAAAGGAACACTTGGAACAGTGCCATGAGCTTTGAAGCATGTACATTCCTACAGGACGGTTGTCGATGCGGAACGAGTTCTTCATACTGTTCTGCAGCCGCCAGGCTCCCTTACAGAATCCCGCGAAGTTGTTTTCTTCTGTGGGGAGGTACAGGTCTGGCGGCGGGAGCATGGGTTGGTCTGCGCTGTTGTTCTTGCTTGAAGAGCTGCCTGTCGAGCGGGCGAAGGGTTTCCATTTGAACATGGGTAAGGATTTCGTACCCGGCGAGGAAGATAACTGAGAAATGACCTTTTCTGTTCCCGGGTGGGGGGCCTTTCTGGGATCATTGGAACTTGATCTGGAGGAGGAGGTGCGAGAGAAGATACCAGCGCTCAGTTCCACAGCACTTTGGTCTGGTTCTATATGAGGGTCACCGCTGCTGGGATTTGATCTGTACCGGTCCATTGGTGCCTCGACACCCTTGGTGCTGGAGTTGTTGGATGAAAGCACGCTGTATACGCTTGCGGATCTGTTTGACTCCTCCCTGATCATGGGCTGTGAGCCCTGCAACTCGGCCAGGCGAGTAGGCGGTGTCTTGACACCATGGCCATGACCGGCACTGGGGCTGTAGGGGGCTTTAGGAGGAGGGTAGTTCGACTGTGGTTTTAGAGGTGGTGAGACGGGGTTGATGCTGCTGGGTGGCCGATGGTTGGTGTAGTTGCTCTCTCGCGAAACCCGGTTGCCTAGATCTGCAGACGATATCGAGTTCGAGGCCACCCGTGAGGGGGACATGGGAGGTATAGGGGGTGGTTTCCGGGGGTCTGTTGCTGCTGCTGTGGAAGAAGACCCGGCAAAGGGACTGCTGCTGCTTCCGGGGTCGCTCAACGCAGCAGGCCTGGTGGGCGATGTGCTGGATGCCAGAGGAGCCTTCGGGAGCATAGATGGACTCCCCAGGCTGAGACGCTGGCCGAGCTGGAAGAGACAGACCAGCGCACTGATTCTGCTCTCGTCCGAAGCACGCTGAAGGGCTGCAAAGTCGAGCTCAAGGTTATCCAGCAGCGCCATGCGCAGGGTCGCCAGCAGCGTCAGTTGTAGGTTGATGACCACATCCTTGAGCGTCTCACGAGCGTTCTGGTCACCGTTGGCGTATGCATTGCCCAGTCGCATCAGGTTCTCTTCATACTGGCCCTGTACGATCGGCGGACCCAGCATGAGCGAGTCTCCTAGATCTGCTAGAGCGGTGGTATTGCTCGCTTCGTCTATAGCCGGCGAATCTGGAGAAGTCGTAGCAACTGGCGACGGAGCCGTAGTAGGGGCGGCCGACTGGATACGCTTGACCAGCTTCGCAGCGTCATTATATGCGGCCACAACTAGTAAGAGGGTCAGTCGGTCAGTTGCCCGATCGTAAGTATGGTCTGAGTCGAGGATTACCTGCGGCGACACAGCTGCCCACGGACCGGACGTCCATCTGAGGCTGGGACATGATGCTCGACATGGCTGCGAGTCCCTGCCAGCGCGGCGGCTGGGTAGAAGCGACCTATAGATAGTTATATGTTAAGAACAAAGCGGATGAGAACAGGCAGAGAGTGCCATGGACGCAGACAAGACAGACAAGACAAGACAAGGAAAAAGAAGCAGAAAGGGAAGAATAATCCAGAAAACAAGCAGAGGAATGGCATACTTACATGGGGGGATGAGCGGCATCTCGGCGCCTGCAAGCCTCTTCTGGGCTCTGGGGATACGAGATGCGGGATGGCGGCGCCAGGCATGCGAGGATGCAGCGTATGAGAGGCGACGGGTAGCGATGGTCGTTATCTCACCGGCCTAGTGTTATCTCTGCGATGGCATGGATGGCAGCAGACAGGGGCCAGGTCGGTTGCTAGTTGTAGTTATCTGAGTCGTGGAGTCGACTAGATGTAGTTATGGAGATTCAGGGGGGGGGCTGTCAAAACTCCGGGGTCGATGGAGACCTTATATACGCCGCGAACTGCTAGCTATATGTTGGATCCTCGACCAGCGCCAGGTCTTTGTTCTAGACAGCAGCTAGGTCATGCGATTGGTCTATGAGCTGCCCAATCGTTGGATGGAGAAGCGTTATAGATGGACTCGAAGCTCGGCTGATCGCCTGCTTGTGTGGATGCTGTGCTCCATAGGAACCGTGAATTCCAGATGTGCCCCTGACATGTCAGGGGCTCGAAGGGATGGAGCCCATGGAAGCATTCCAACAGTTATGTCTGCCATCCGGTTGGATAAAAACAAGACATCGATTTGAGTAGAGAAGAGTAATTGTAGAGTTAC